AAAAAAAAATGTCAGGGAGTCAGAGAGAGGCAGAGAGTGACTGAGCCTGGATCAGGTTTTGCATCAAACACCAGGAGCGGCCCCCGCTTCTCTGTTCCCTGCGCAGGGCTGTAAATTCTCATTAGATATAAAGGCAGAGGCTGCATCCATCCAAAGGCAATGCAGGGACGGATTTTTTTTTAACCTAAACATACTAATCCAATCCCCCTTTTTATGATCTGTAACAGGGGACTTTTATTACACGGCATTAGCATGGAGAAAGGCGGCGGAGCCGGCACGGCCGCGCGGGCCGCCGTTTCGCCCTGCTCCTGCCCTCGGCAAACGGGGAGCGCAGGGAGCAGCTCCGCGCTGCGCTGCGCACACACGCACCTCTCGCACGGCGCGCACGGGAGGCGGATGCGCGCACAGAGGGAAGATGCGCGCAGAAGGGGGAGATGCGCGCAGGGGCAGAGTTGCGCGCAGAGAGAGAAATGCGCGCAGAGATGCGCGCAACCCCACTGTATCCTCATCCCGATCTCTTCCCTGCGCCCAGTGCCGTCCTCGGGCTGCGCGGACCAACCCCCGCTCGCCGTTGCGCGCTCCCGGCCCCGCGTCGGGCTCGTTCCGCGCGCACTGCGCGGCCGCGGGGAGGGGACAGGAGAGGGGCGTCCCGCACTCACCGGCTGTGTCCGTGCCCCGCAGGTCTGGTTCAAGAACCGTCGAGCCAAGTGGCGAAAGAGGGAGCGGAACCAGCAGATGGACCTGTGCAAGAACGGCTACGTGCCGCAGTTCAGCGGGCTCATGCAGCCCTACGAAGACGTCTACGCGGGCTACCCCTACAACAACTGGGCCACCAAGAGCCTCACGCCGGCGCCGCTCTCCACCAAGAGCTTCACCTTCTTCAACTCCATGAGCCCCTTGTCCTCGCAGTCCATGTTCTCGGCGCCCAGCAGCATCTCCTCCATGAACATGCCCTCCGGCATGGGCCACTCGGCCGTGCCGGCCATGGCCAACTCTGGCCTCAACAACATCAACAACCTCGGCGGCTCCTCGCTCAACTCGGCCATGTCGTCGCCGGCGTGTCCCTACGGGCCGCCGGGCTCGCCCTACAGCGTCTACAGGGACACTTGCAACTCCAGTTTAGCGAGCCTCAGACTGAAATCAAAGCAGCACTCGAGTTTCGGCTACAGCAGTTTGCAGAGCCCCGGCTCCGGCCTCAACGCCTGCCAGTACAACAGCTGACGGGCCCGCGGCCGCGCTGCACCGCGCACGCACAGACACGGCACCCCCGAGAAAGAGAGAGGAGGAGGAGAGCAGAACCCGAGCAAGCGAGAGAGCAAACAAAACAAAAATAACGACAAAAAAAATAAACCCCCCAAAGTTTCGCGGATTTCGATTGCGTAGGGAAGAAAAAAAAATATTAATAATAATTTCAATCAATACAACCATCAGGACAACTTTTTTTTTTTTTAACATCAAAAAATAACACCGTTAACGGACCAGAAATCTTTTTGCAAGGGACAACCGAAATCTGGTACATGGATGAGTTGCAATTTTTCTCTGGATTATGCGGGTTGTATGTGTTTACTTGAACTTGCACAGGAGTTATTTTCCTTTTCTTTTTTTTTTCCTTTTTTTTTTCTTTTTTTTCTTTTTTTTCATTTTTTTTCCCTCAACGCCCCCACTTCCCCGCGAGGAGAGGGGCGAGGGAGGGGGACGCCTCGGTGGTGAGAGCCAGTGGGACGCTTCTTGGCCACTTGTCGCACGGGAAGAGTTTGGTTAAAGTTTACCACTGAGAAACAGAAACACACGCGAAAAAAAATATATTAAAAAAAGGCGGAAAAAATATAATTCGCAGAAAACACTCTGCGGGTAAGAAACAAGAAATGGTTAAAATATTAGGTATGAAACTATTAAAAATAATAATGACAAGGGTCAACCACTTATATAAGGCTATATTTATATCTGCCGTTACATTATGCCGGATCATTGTCCATGGCGGTTGAATAAACTGTTTTTAAAATGCATGATTCTTGATTTTTTTCTTTAGTTGGAAGCTATAATCCAGTCATTCCTGATACTAAGCAGCTCAAGGTTCCTACCTCTTCACCCTTTCCAAAAGACTGCAGTATCCCCGGTTGTGAGACTAGCACAAATGATTCTTGACGATGCAAAAAAAAAAAAATAAAAGAAAGAAAAAAATCCAAAAAGACTCAACTGCTCAGCATTTTCCTCACCCAAAGTCTTATCCTGATAATGAAATTATCGTTCATCTTTATTTAAATGCGGGGGAGGGGGTTCCTCAAAAGAAAAGAAAAAAAAAAAGAAAAACTTTTGGAGTTTAGAAAAAAAATAAAAGACCTAAAATGGTCCACTATGAAGTGAATCCTGATACTGCATCTCCGCTAGAGAAACGGCGAGCCTCGGCGTCCGGAAAGGTTGCTTAGCAAAGCTCCAAGTGTTCCTTGGTTTTCTAGCTGTGAAGGAAAAACAAGGAATCAAAAAAAGAAAACTTAAGGTGTTATTATCTTAAGGTGTTATTATGTAAATGTAGATACTTTAACAAGTGCTTGTTGGCAAAAAAAAATGGAAATGATAAATATGAACTTTATTAATACGCATACAAAACGCATATGAAGTTTAATTGCAGGCATATTTGTTGCTTATTTTTTGTCGATACTTATTACCTGTAGATGACAAAGAAACATAATATAAAATGCACACGGTACTTCTTTCCCAGTGTATTTCACACCTGTGGTAAACGTTACGCTGGATGTTTCAGTTATGCTGTTGTGGATAAGGATGCAGTATATATTGTTTTATAAGTTATGTTTTGTGATTTTTTTTTCAAAATTAAGAGCATGGGAATAAAAAAAAAAAGACAAAACGAAATCAAGAAATGTTCTTTAATGTTTCTTTGCGTAGCTGCGGTTAAGAGACCGGCTCTGTCGGAAGCAAAGGGTTTTTTTGCGCTCGCCCGCGGGCCTTGCGCGGCCGGCAGCGGCGGGGACGGCTCTTTGCGCGGAGGCTGAATAATATCACCGTTAATCGTGCACGTATTTTTTCCACCCCCTCCCCGCAAAAAGAGCTACCCCGCGCACCTCCGCGCTCCCTCCTCGCGTTCCAGCCCCGGTCCCGCTGCAGCGTTTCCCGATCACGGAGTTTCGGCGCAGTTTTCCCTCTCTCCTCCGCGCAAGCCTCAAATCGGGCCCGACGGGATGGTCTTGATTTAACGATTGTTCTTTTTTTTTAGTTTATTTCAAAGCCCACGGCGCCTTTCGGGGCCGGCTGAGCCCCAGCTCTCCCAGCCGGGACCCCCCGCACGGAGATTTTGCGGGGGGACCCGCTCCCAGGGCGCCGCGTGACTGTTTCGAGCTTTGCAGGGGCTGTTTTCCCCCTCTCCCCAAAGCGGGGCTCAGCACGAGGTGCTCAGAGCCCCCTCTGCTACATTATCCCTTGGGGGCTTATAGGAGCACGTATCAGAGCGGCTGAGCCCCAGCTCTCCCAGCCGGGACCCCCCGCACGGAGATTTTGCGGGGGGACCCGCTCCCAGGGCGCCGCGTGACTGTTTCGAGCTTTGCAGGGGCTGTTTTCCCCCTCTCCCCAAAGCGGGGCTCAGCACGAGGTGCTCAGAGCCCCCTCTGCTACATTATCCCTTGGGGGCTTATAGGAGCACGTATCAGAGCAGGAAAACTCCTGGTTTTCCCCTCCGTTTTCCATACAGTTTACATCCAAATGCCCCAGGCTGTTATTTCACGCCAGCTTTCCCGTTTTCCCCACACTCCTGGAGGCAGCACCGTTAGTCCTGCTGTGGAGTCTCGAGTGCCTGAGCGCTCGTGTTTAACCAAGTCCTGCCGTGGGTGTGAAACGTGAGTCCCAACCCCTCCCGGGCCCCTGCCAGCGCTGCAGTCCAGGGGTGCCGGTGAAATCTGGGCATCTCGACACATTTATGGCTCAGGGGAAGGAAAGCTCCAAGGAAACGCTGAGACACAGCAACATGGGCACCTTTTCTGTGAGCTTAGGGTGCATCCTCCTTGCAGACGCTATCAGTCTCCTCCATGCTTTGAGCCCAGACTGTTTGGGCTGCTTGGAGCAAGGCTTGGCACTGCTTTGCCCAAGCCTGACTCCCTCCAGGAGATGCTGGGGGCCAAATCCACCTCCTCCCACCTCCGTCTGCACTGGAGACCCTCTCTGCACCGTGCCGGAGGTCACACAGGCTCTGCTGTCGTCTGCTCCAGAGCCCCAAAAGGGAGGTCCCAGGTATAAACCAGCTCCTTGGGAGTTTTGGAACCGCCCTGGCCACCAGCTCAGCCGTGCGCGTTTCTGCACAGCAGAGCTTTTGCAAAAGCCTTTCCAGAGCGCGGAGCTCGAGCAGGGGGTTCTGCGGCGGCGTCGCCTTGGACCCACCGCGGCTCCACCTTGGTGGCCCTCTGCCCTCCTCTAGGTGCCCTGGCCCTAGACCAGCTCCCGGCCTCCTGGCCATCAAGGACAGCAACCACTTTGAGGCACTGAAATAGCTGGAGCGCATTTTTCCATCTGCTCCAGGCTACTGACTTGCCCGGGAGCCCTGCACGGTCTCCCGAGGTCCCATACGGAGCCCACACTGCGGCCTTTCCCATTGCATCCCGGCCCGGGTGAAGCTCACAAAAGGTTTTCCTGCCTCAGACGGTGCTGCTCATTCGAGATTAAATGTCTCACAATAAAAAGCTGTGGTCAGTTTAACTCGGAGCTGCATACTTGCCTTTATCTGTGGCCTGGAACGCAGCAAGCTATGCAAAGTCCCATTTAAATTAATGGGATGCTTCAGCACTGATTTTAATGGGATTTTGTATAATAAAAATAACACTTCGGAATGCCCTGACGTTTTGTTGCAAACTTGCAACAAAGGTCTCTGGAGCTGGGATAATAAAAATACAGGCTTGATTTGAAACCTATGAGGATTTTGTCATTAATCTCAATGGCACAGTTTCAGGCCTTATTATTTTAGTGTGCTGTTATATAAGTAAAAATTACTTCGGTAATTAAACAAAAGTTTGTGACAACTTTTCTGACCCAGTCTGGCAGCCAGTAGGTGAAAAAAGGAGTTTGATATTATTAAAACAGCCAAGATATTCAGACTCGTAAACCAGCCTTTATACAAGGACTGAAAACAAATAAAAACAAGAGGCTGCACATTGTTTGGCTAAATAAGAGTTTGCCCTTCAAACAATATTAAGCTGCAAATACTTCAGGTCTCTCTCTCTCTTTTTTTTTTAATCTAGCCGAGAGAATAATTTTCTGCTCACCTTCATGGAAAACAGCAAAACAAAGTCCTTCAAAGTAAAACATGTTTTAATTAACAGAATAAAGTCTCGGGCTATGCAGCAAGGCTCCTCTGCAGCTCACCACTGTGCGACCCACGCAGGCCGGCTGCACTTATTAACAAGCTACAGGCTACGCTCTGCTCCAAACTGATTAAGCAGCAGAGCTGCAGGCATATTTTCTATCAAAAAAACATCTCAGTGGCAGCCAGTCTTTTCTTTGCAGCAGGATTTGTTGTTGTTGTTGCTTTAAACAGGAAAAATTTGTTCCTACCGAAACTCCGATTCCTCTAATGTAAAAATGCCCAAGACGAGATTTTTATTTAATGAAGCCTTCTACAGAAATAAAATTTCTTGTAGGATTTTTTTTTAAAAAAGAGAAAATATATATGCATTTGATTTTTTTTTTTCTTCCCTTGACCCAAGAAGTTTCTTGCAAAAATGCAGGTAGAGGTTCAGCCTTTGTGGGAAAGGAGCAGATTTTCCCAGTTCTTGGCAGGAGCAGAGGCTCTTTTGTGCCCACGGGGAGCCCCGAACCAGCCCCTCCGTGCAGCTCCGCCGAGGCAGGCGGATAACTGACGGCAATAGGCGATGCCTCCATGGAATAACATGTCAAAAAGCAACGTTCAGTCCAGGTTGCTAATTCATGTCTCACATAGCAGCTCCAGAGCTTCCCCCCTTGCTAAAATAATAATAATAATAAAAAATTTCTATGTGTTAATATATAAGGAACAAAAATCTGACTTACTACGAGCAGGGACAAAGTAGCTGCTGTCCCGCAGGAGTGCAAAGTAATTTATTTTACAGGCTTCAGAGTGATACATGCCTGGGTACAGGAGATTAGCAGTGGGATTTTCGAAAGCCCTGTGTGAGTGAGGACCAGATTTTAAAAAAGAAAAAAAAAAAAAAAAAGGTTTCATTGGATCGGTCCTGGTGTGAGGC